TAATCGCATGATTAAATGTTTGCTTTGCGTATGAATAGGATTGGGTCATTCTAATGATATGTTTAATCTATCTTGGAAAATAATATTAGATATTAATGGATTATCAATTATCATGAACACTTGCATGATAAGAACTTACATAAGTTGAGGATTAAGAATAAAGATCAATAAGTGGGGTCGAAAATCCAATACATTCGTCTCATTATTTGATTAAAACCAAATTTTTACAGTATTTGTAGTGTAATTTAGGATAATCACAAAACAGATAAACCTTTTGAGTTACCATTGATCGAGTTTGATTATAACTAATACACTATAGTTGAACATTATTTCTCGTGGAATGATGCATGTGCTCATTATGTATTACTTGTTAATAATTCCGTATATTTGTGGGATTTTCTTGAACATTAATTCAATTTGCCAATCAATACACTTTGACACGGTGAAACTACTTCAATTTATAGCAATTAGGTTACTAAATTTTAATTTTGTCTCAATTATGCTATTTCATTCGACTCCATCACAATGACTAGTGTCAGACATGGAGTGTCCATTAAATACTAATAGATATCATTTGTGGCCGTCAAAAAATAACCTGAAAAAAGTTGTACACCAAAAAAACTATAATTATTTTCAATCCATAAATTTAGCCCATGTTTGATAGGGATTAAATCAGATTTTTAGTGAATTTTGATAAAAAATAATGAAATGTGTGATTAAAAAGTTGTGGTCACATGAAATGTATGATTAAAATTAATTGTTGACTTTGACTTAGATTAAAATTTTGATTTTAACTTTTAACAAACAGGGGCTTAATGTGTAAAACGAACTTTTCTACTGTATAACCTCTTTCAAGTTGTTTTTTATTGTCACGTAGGATGACCATTTGTACTTAACAACCACGATAGTATGTGACATTAGCATGATAAAATTGATTGAAGTGGCCTAAATTGAGATAAAATTATAGTGTATTGTCTCAATTGATAGGACATTAAAGTATAATGACATAACTGACACAAATTAAAGTATAATTATCCAATTGAAGTACATTGACACGAATTGAAATTAACCTAAAAATTTGTTTTGCTTTCAACAACGTTTTAAATTCGTGATTTAACAAAATATGATTGGTTTGAATCTAACTACGTTTTATAACTACAAAAGTAATAAATCCCGGTTTAAATTAAATGTGATGAACGTATTGGATTTTCGATTCCACTAATCAATTTTTAATTTCAATCGTCAACTTGTGTAATTCATGCAATTGTGACGATCAATAACTCCACTTTTATTTATTAATCTTTTCCAATATATAATAAATCTACATTTATCACGAGATGATCATATTCTTAGTCCGCATTCAGATGACAAACATGCATTGAAGTTAAGGATTATCACACGCGATCGCACATTTTATAAATACTATTCATAATATTTATTATCCATGTGTTCCATAAACAGTGTTGTATCTACCGTGAGTTTTTCAACACTAATGATTACGCCCAAAGAATAACGTGGTATTTGTAGCATAGTTTTGGGATGTCATATCCATAGCAAGATAGAAGAATATTTAAATGATCAAAAAGGGATGAATTGTTCTCTCAAGAGTGTAGTTGAATTCAATATTAGAAAAATGAAGTTAAAGATCAATAATTTAAAACAGTGAAACATCAGAATTCCCTTGGTTGGATTGGATCATTTACATTAATTATTCAGTTTTATAACTCAATTAGAGGCTTTTATCCCTACACTTTGATCGAAAGATTTATCGTGAAAATCAATTTATTTTACAAATGTAAT